ACACATATCTATTCAATAGGTCAATTTGAGCAGGCTCAGCTTTATTTCCGCAGTGACTGCGAGTTCGTCTCAATCTAGGTGAGGTGAGGTGTCATGGAACGGCAACCCTTGGGATTCTTATGCAAGTCTTCCGGACAGTTTTTTCTACTTTCTTTTCCACCACCGTTTGCCTTAGCGGGTACACTGCGGCACTACTTCCTGTGATGTCAGCCAAAGACGTAGGAAACTTCCTTTCAGGCTTGGTTTTCGAATTCCTCCATACTCTCGGTTTTGTTACACTGCCCTCAAGTGGCAGACGAGGGCTACTACTCCAAGAATGCCAGCTCAATGAGGTCTTGTTCTTCCCCCTCAAGTCACTTGCACAATACTCCACTGAGCCCTGGGGTCTTTTTGTGTTGCTGTTGCAATCACCGCAGCGGTCACAATGTACAAAAGCGCCCCCCTGGCCCCGCTTCTCTCTTTCTCACGGGTTGCGTTCAAGGGCCAAGCCACATTTCTTGTAAAGCGTTTTATGATGCTTTCGATTGGGGCTTATTACTACCTGTCGCCTATTATGTCAAGAGCGTTTTGCTTCGCAGTTGAGTTCAACTGTGTTTTATTCTGGCTAACTGATCGAGAATGTAGAAAACGTTGTGTGCTTTTAATCAATCAAAGACATTCGGTTGTTTCTGTTGGTTCATTTTTAAATACACACACACACGCCAGCTGAAATAAAACTGACATGTAACCATTGTGTGATTTATTCAGACATGAATGAATCGGGACGATGTTGGATTGAACTCACATTTTATTGAAATGATTTCAGGTACAGTACATGTTTGTACACAACTTCCGGGTGGCGGAAAAAGGAATTGACCACAGCTAACCTGAACGGCAAAATTGGATGTATTTGGTGTTGCAACGCCACATATGGCTCAATGTTTTTCTTTTTCTTATTGTTTCCCCTTTCTGTTTCCTTCCAATGATCGCAAGTCTGGGGATAAAATCTCCATCATCGGGTTTATAATTGATATTTTTTTCCACAGATATGTATAAAACGTTTGTTTCGGTTGTCTTTTAGTCATTTGGCCAAACACAATAGCTAGCCTATCGGATAACATCGGCATTACGGCGCACGCCGGTCTCGGTGCCATTCATTCGAGTAACAAAAAAAAAAAGTCAATTAAGGAGCTAATCCCTCAACAATGATTTGACTATGTCAGAATTTCTACCACGTCTACTTTTGAATCCACGTACCCGTTAAAATTACGAGCCGTTTTGTTTGTGCCCTCTTTGCAACATCAGCAGTCACACTGGCTCAAATCAATCGCCATTCCTGCCATTTACCGTTTCCCAAATCGTTCCGCCTTGATCGATTTCCGAGTTTGTTTACTGTGCTGCCATCATTTTTTTGGCCACCCGGAAGTACGTGCGAAGTGATTTTGTATACAGTACACAAGGGAAAACAAACAAAAAAAACCCAAAACAAAACCTACCTTGTGGTTTTCTCCTTTGAGTAATAACAAAAGCGGTTACTTACTTACGACGGACAAGCAATGGTGGTGCGTTCAGCGGCCTGTGGACGAAGCAGCGTTCTCGCTCGCCGGAGCCTTTCAAAGGAAACGCACACAAACAGCATAGATGTTATCGTGTTGTAAGTCTTTTTAAAAATCTTTGTGAAGTAGGCTGAAAGTGTCGCCTGCTGCTCACCTTTGATGCATGGCCGCGGTAGGAAATGGATCGACTTTTGATAGAGCGCTTGTAAGCTAATTTAGGAGACGAGATGATCGAATGCTGTTCCCCGAGGATAACAGATGACGATAGCAAGATTGAGGTGACAATACTGATATGTTAATACTTGTGTGTTAATACTAATATTTCATGGCTGTCTTTAAGTAGACTTTTCAGGCATCTGTATTTGACTTCGGTAATTACTTTTCTGATTACTTACACTTGATAGCTTTCCTACTCTGGACACAAGAAGGATTTATGGCGAATGTTTCGTCTTGTACGAGTCGAAAAACAAAACATTGAACTCAACAAACAACCCCTCACCCACCACCACAAATTTCAACATCGAATCTGAAAAGCAAAACAAACCATCAAAGCAACGCTGCATGTTTTTCGGACCGCTAATAAGAAATTGATTTGCACACACACACGAGCATTCTATAAAATGATTTCCAACCTCTTAAATTGGTCAATGACTACAAATAATGTCTTTTTGTTCATCTATCAAGGGAAGTCACGTGTAATGACAGGCAGATCTGATTGCTCCTCCACAATACGGCGGAAGGTCGAATTTAACCACTTGTTGCCATTCATGCAGGACAACAAAACAGGCCCACATTTCATATTCAGTAAATTGACATGCGATCATTGTTTCAAGGATGGTTTATATTCTTTTGTCTTGTTGAGGTTGTGAATGTTCTGAGATTATTACCACGAAATGGACTACTCCCCAAACCCGCGACCCTCGTGAGGATAAGCGGTTCGGATAATGGCTTGATAGACGACTGCAAATGTCAATTTTGGTAAATGTCACTTTTGGTAAGTGGGCGATTTGATACGTTGAGGGCCATACTCGGAAATGCAATGCAAAAGTATCTGCCAGACGCCTTTTGTGATCCATTTTTTGGTATACAGTAATCCCTTGCTTGAACACGGTTCATCTTTCACGGCGTTGCTGTTTCACAGATTTTTTTTTTTTTACAGTACATCGTTTCTGGAATGGCAAAGGGACTGTAGACTAATGTCAACATTCTCAGAGATTATGCGATTATTATTATGCGAGACTAATAAAGGATTTCTTCTCTTCTCCGCGGCTCATCACTGTACAGCTTGTCAAAATTTCTCTGTAACAAAACCCACGAAGTCAAAGACGTTTTTATATATACATATATATATATATATATATA